CGTCTATCAAAATTTTAGCTGCGGCAAAATTTTCTTGACTTTGATCGAAGGTATCTCGACACCCACACAATCAAATTTGATGAATTTTTTTTATTTGAATTCTGCTGTTCTGGAGAATTCAAATAAAAAAAAATTCATCAAATTTGATTGTGTGAGTGCCAAGTTTAAAGTTGTGGACATTTCTCAAGGTAGTTACCACCCACGGCACTACGTCTATGACGTATAAGCTATACTACCTTTTGACTATATTGACGTAGCGTTATATAAAGTAGAGGAGTAGTATAACGTAATGATGTAGGCGATGTAGGTGACGTAAATGGCATAGATGATGTGTATGATATAGGCAATATAGCTGACATTGGACGTACATACGTACATACATACGTATGTAGTGATGTAGTAGACAGCCAATCTAACCTTGCTTACATTCTTTTTTAAATTAACAGGAATTCTTATTTACATTAAATAATTTTAATTTACTAATCTATAATCTTATCTATTTAAATCTACAGCCAACAATAAAGTATAAGGTCTAATATTAATTTATACGAAGTTAGAGCTAAAGCTAGTGAACTTCAATCGAATTTATAGTCAATTAACTTGATCAAAAAACTTAATAGCCTGATACATAAGTATATATGTATTTAGATCATACTATATGATTATATTATTTGTCTTTGAATTAACAGGAATTTTAAAGTTTCGAGACATCTTAGGTAAATGTGTTTGGCTACAATTTTATTTAGTAATTAACTAATAGAAGTGATTTTAAACTATCATAGCTTAAAATATGCATACACATAATCAGCGTAATCCTAGAACTATAGCTCTGTTTAATAAATCTATCAAGAAAAACATTTGAGAATATCTTTAATGGTAAATAAAAAAATTAATCTAAAATTTTGATATAACCTTAAGCATTACAATGAGCGTTTACTATAACATTGGTTTTCCAATAATAAATATGCTAATTTTTATACAAAGTACATTTTTTATTAATATATCTGGTTAATTACTGTTTAAAGCCTTTGTGCATTAGATACATATATGATTAATCATCATTTTTTGTTCGTATAAGAAGTCTCTAAAAAATAATTTATATTAATGTTTTAGAATAATATAGTAATGAACGATAAAATAAATAATATTGTACTAACCATATTAAATACAGAAAATAGAGCGCAATAATATTTATTCAGTTGTTATGAGTAGTTTAACCTACTTTTGTATTTTGAAATTATAATTTTGTACAATTAATATATTTAATTATGCGATAGTATTAAACTCTAGCAGTAATTTAAGATTTATTATTAATTGTATCTACAAGCTATTATCTTGCCCTTCACGTTCTAAAAAACTATTTAGTACATCGAGTGGATCATAATCTAAATCTAAATTAGAGAAAGAAATAGCTTGGGCTGTTTCCATACTAGAAGATTCCAAACCTTCTTCAATTCTCAAATTGACAATTTCCTCAATTAATAGTGATGTAGAATTATTAGATGGGCTGCCGTCAATAGAAATAAGGCAAATTGACATTTTAAAAAAAATTAATACCTTGACTTTCACAGCTCCTATC